TTTTCTGTAATCATGTTTCCCAACATTCCTTTCTATCCCATTCAAGTGTCTATTTTACAATAGTAGGCAAGGGAAATGAATATTCATAAAACAGTTAAGGATTTTAGTATTATTTCCCCACTTCAAGCTATACCTCGATCCCTGTATCCCAGAGCCCTGTTGTACCTCTCTTCCACTTAGGACATGCAAACCTGTCTTAGTGTTCCCCTATCCTTCATCTTGTTCTTCTGCCTCCTCCCCCCTTCTTGTATTGCCCTCCCCAGTACGCGAACTAAACCCCCACCACCAAACCCCATTGTTGTGGTTACCTTATATTCCATTAACTCTTTCCTCCATTTAGGACAGTCTATTTTATCCTGTAATCTTCCTGCCCTTCCCACCACCTTGGATCTCTGTTCCTCTGTGTTTACCTTCTTTCACATTGTAATTGTTTTGATCATAGACTGACCTCCTAGATCCTCTGTTCTTATAATTTTATTCTGTTCTTGACTCTTCCATTTGTTGATTGTGTTCAGGTTGATGCTGCCATGTACGTCATTCTGTGGTTGTTGTCTGTTCTTGTTGGTTCTCAGTCCACAGAACTTCCTTTAGGATGTTTTTTTCATCACAGGGTTGGCTTTGGCAAAATCCCTTAGCTTCTGTTTATCCTGGAATGTTTTGATTACACCATCATATTTGATTGACAGCTTTGCTGGTTAGAGGATTCTTGGGTGGCAGTTTTTTTCTTTCAAGGTTTTATATATGTCTCCCCATTGCCTTCTTGCCTGCATGGTTTCTGTTGTGAAATCTGAGCTTAATCTGATTTGCTTGCCTTTGTATGTTACACTTCTCTTTTCCCTAGCTGCTTTCAGGATTCTCTCCTTTTTCTTTGATTTTGGAGAGCTTGATTATTATATGTCTTGGTGATTGTCTTTTAGGGTCTATCCTTCCTGGGGTTTGTTGAGCTTCTTGAATGCTTAGCTTTCTGCTTTTCAGGATGTTAGGGAAATTTTCTTCCAGCAGCTCTTCAACTATCTGTGGACTTGTGTGATTGATTGTTCCTATTCTGGAATGCTGATAATTCTTAAGTCATTCCTCTTCATGTTGTCCAACATGAATCTTAGGCCTTCTTCAGATTTTTTTTTTTTTATTGTTTTGTTTGTTTGCTCTTCTATCTTAGTAGTGTTGAGAAATTTATCTTCTAGCTCACTAGTTGTGTCTTCTATCTCTTCAATTCTACTCCTTTGCCCTTTCAGTGTATTGTCAATTTCTGATATTCTTTTATTAATTGTTTGGAACAGTTTCTGTATGTTTTGAACTGTTTCCAATGCTGTATCTATTTTATTTGATTGTTCCTGTAGTGCTTTCCTGACTTCTTCATTCTTTTTCTCAACTCCATTGTATAGTGTTTTGATATATTTTATAATCATTTTTCTGAATTCCTTCTCAGTCATTTCCAAAGCCTGCCCATCTCTAGTATGGAGTGTAGGTCTACTTCCAGTCACTTTATCTTGTTTCTGGACATGTGCTGATGTAGTCATCTGCTTCTGTTCTTTGGGAATATTCAGGAGTTATCTGTGGCCTTAATACTTATATGGGTGTGTATTTTGGTATTTTTTATGCTTTCTGATTGCTTCAAGTAGATGTGATCAGGAGATTGGCTTCTCTTTTCACTGTTCTTCCTGAGAAGTTTCAAGATGCCATTGTTGGTCATTGTAACATAACTCAGGATTTAAGTTTTGACCTCTTTCCTTTTTAGTCTGCCCGTCCTGCTCTACAATTCCCATTCGGGCCTTTTTTCTAGTTATAAACAGTTCAGGGCTGGCTGTGGCCGTTTGGTTTTAAGTGGATTCTGTCTCTTTAAATTTTGAGGAGATCTGTTTGCATGTGTATTAGAACCCTCTGGGGACAGGGGTGGGGTGGCCACCAGCTTAGGCACTGCCTCTAGTCTCCAGAATGGAGGTCCACAGATAGCAAGAGACCAGTGAACAGATACAAAAAAAAAAGAATGTCCACACCTTTATCTCTGTGGTTCTGTCAGGCATCCATGGCTGCTCTGATCCTTCCGCTACTTGGTTTGCCCAAGATGGCGGCTCTGGGAGCAGCTGAGTGTCTTGAATTAGAAAGCAATAGATTTCTTGCTTCTGCTATAAATTCCCCTAGCTGTAAGCCTTCCAACCTTCTCAATATTCCTTTATATGTGGTTCAGAGTTCTAGCACCATCCCCTAAGCCTGCTTGGTCCCATATTCTGTGTTGTTGATGAGGGAGCTCATCACTGCACTTCAAACCAATCTGCCATCTTGTTTATTCTCCCACACACACTTTTAATCTAAACTTCTTCTTTAAAAATTGTAAACCAGTCACTTTGTGTCTTTATCGTCCATTTTAGGTAGCCAGTGTCTTAAGTTGACCATCCCTATCTATACTGTATCCAGAGGGAATAGGATTGGTATTTGGTGTGAATACTCCATCCCTCTCAGTTGGTATTTTGAGCTACTTCATCCATAAGTGTAGATCAAATTCATAAAATTGTAGCAATTTACAGTCATTTCCTTTACCATTAAAAAAAATCTTCTAGTTGAGTTCTGATTCTCAAGCCATCGAGGCTAGGTCAGAGGGGTACTATCTGCAAATTTGGGCATTCTTGTGCATCTCCCCTTACTTCATATCAGCTGGATGCTTCAGTCTTAGCACTAGCCCTCCATGGCTATGTCCTTGTCCATGGGCTCAGGAGTACCCAGGTCTCATCACATTTTGGCCCAACCAGCTCTTTCTCTCCTCTCTCATATCCAGGTCAACGGGAGCCTATGGAACATGGTTCAACTCAGCCCATTTCTTCATTGTGGCCTTTCCCCGTGTTCCACTCACCAGTAGACCAATGTGGTCACCAGCAAGTTCGCATGCCTACTCATGTGTTCCCTTTGAGTTTCAGTCTTAGAGGGGGGTTTGTCTTGAAGGGACTTGTTTGCCTTCATGGCTCCCCATTAAAATACAGTTTTACCTTCCTTCGAGTATAGGTCCAAATTTGTTTGCAGATGTTCAAATGCTTTTCTTTACGCTCTTCAGTGTTTTGTTTTGGTACCCATCTCACACTGACTTTTTGAAACTGAAATCTATTTTACATTATTTATAGGCAGAACCATGGCTTATTTGAGCATGATTTATAACATATTCGACTGTCACTCGTTGAATATGTTGGACAGATTCATTTCATAAGCATTCTCAGTGTTGTAATTAGTCGTGGCTGTGGACAGAGTGTTCTAAAATACAACCATAATATCGATCATTTTTACTCAGTCTTCTGCTTGTCTTTTCTAAAAGTTGATTATATAAATTCTAGAGCCAGAGTCAGATAAATTTTGACTAACCCTTGTATTTATTCAATAAGTGTGTTAACATCAAGTTTATTGAATATCATAAAGGAATAATGGAGAATTTATAGCTTTTTAATATAAATGTGTGTGGTAATGTGGGTTATTGCACCAGACTGCAAAGTTGATTTGAACCACAAGGTCAGTGGTTCAAGCTCTCCAGCCACTCCTCAGAAACCTTATACAGGGTCGCTGTGGTTCAGAACCAACTCAACACTACTTAACAACAACAACCATACAAATGTGAATGAATTACTTGATTCTTCTTAGCCTTAGTTTCTTTGCTGTAAAATCAAGATAATTCAGTATTATATTGTTAAGCAAATGATAGTATGCTTTTGTGTATGTTGTTGTTAAGTGCCACTAATTCGATTCTGACTCCCAGTGACCCTATGTATGGTTTCCAAGCTTTCATATATATGACTATTCAAATACAGTACCTCACAAACCAAAAATTAAACTCACTGACACTGAGTCAATTCTGATTCATTATGATACTATATAGGGTTTCCAAGGCTGTCACCTTACAGGAGCATAAAGCTTCATCTTTCTCCCATGGAGCAGCTGGTTCATTTGAACTGCAGACCTTTTGGTTAACAACCCAGTGCTTATAGTGCCATCAGTGTTCTATAAGATAGTACCTAGAAGATGATAAACATTCAATAAATTATAAAAACAAAACCAACCCTGTTGACATCTACTCATTTCTAATTTATGGCTACCACATGTGGTACATAGTGTTGTGGTATGCTGTCAAGTCAGTTCTGTCTCATGATAACCTTTAGCACAATGGAACAAAACACTAACTGGTCCTGCTGTTGTTATGATTGAACCTGTTTTTGCAGCCACTCTTTCAATCTGTCTCTTTTGGGGATCTTTCTCTGTTTTTGATGACCCTGTCTACTTTCGTTGGCTTTTTCCACTTAATAACATGTCCAAAGTACATGATACAAAGTCTCACCATTTTTGCTTCTAAGGAGCATTCTGGCTGTACGTCTTTCAAGCCAAATTCATTCATTCTTCTGACAGTCCGTGATACTTGGAATATTCTGCCTCAATACCACAATTCATAGACATCAGTTCTACTCCTGTCTTCCTTATTCATTGTCCAGCTTTTACATGCATATATTGGTGTTAAGTACTAAGGAGTTGGTTTTGACTCATGGGAACCCTGTATAGGGTTTCTAAGGAGCGACTGGTAGATTTGAATAGTCAACCTTGCAGTTATCAGCCTAGTGGTTATCTTGTAGTACCACACCAGGACCCACATACATATGAGGAAATTGAAAATAATCTTTGCTTGAATTAGGCACACAGTAGTTTTCAAAGTGACATCTTTGCTCTTTTAACACTTTAAAGAAGACTTTGCAGCAGATTTGTCTAATGAAATATGTCAATACGTCCTTTGATCTCTTGACTGCTGTGTTCATGTGCTTTGAAGAGCTTTCTAGAAAAGTGTTGGTGGACATTTTATGTGTGTGTACATATATATTGTTTTCTAGTGATTGTCTTCTGCTGCATTAAACCTTTAATGATGGGAATTGTCTTTATTTCTGATGTGAAAATATGGATATAACAAATATGTCAATTTTTAAGATTCTCAAAACTCCAGATACGAAGCAGTGTTATCTTGATTTCCTCTTTTGTAGTTATGTGCTGCTCACCTCCCAACTGAATCTGAAGCACCAAATCATTATCAGGCAGTATGTCGGGCACTATTTGCAGAAACCATGGAGCTGCATACCTTTCTGACAAAAATTAAGAGTGCAAAGGAGGTAAGTACTACTGCTGTGATATTTCTTGGAATTGTAAAGATAAAACTGTATTTTCAATATCATCTATTATGTAAAAACATTATTGTAATTCTCACGATTGTTGAAAAGAATCTTGGTAAAAAGTTACTTACTTGGTGGTCGTGGTAGTGCGCCACTGACTTGGTTCCAACTCATAGCAACCCTTATAGGGTTTCTGAGGCTGTAAGTCTTTATGGGAGCAGAAAGCCTGATTTTTTTTCCCATTGTGCAACTGGTAGATTCGAACTACTGACCTTGAAGTAGTTAACAGCCAGCTTCTAATCTACTATTACCAGGGTTAATAAACCACTTAGGCAAAATTAAAACTATTTTTCAAAATATCAGTGTTAATCCCTTTTATAGAACAAATATTTTCATAAAACTTTCTTAACAAATGGGAAATAAATATTAATAGATTGATTAAAAAAATTTTTTTTTGTCCATTTTGAAACATGTTCATGTTTCTTTCAGAGGAGATAATGGCTCCAAAAGGAGTTACCATTGACATCTGATAATTTAAGTATTTTAGATTGTTGTTAAGTGCCATAAAGTTGGTTCCAACTCATAGCAACCCTGTATGGAGTTTCTGAGATTAAAAAAAAAAAAATCTTTGCTGAAGCAGAAATCTCATTTTTCTCCTGTGGAGCAGCTGGCAGACTTGAACTGCAAACCTTGTGGTTCATAGTTCAGTGCTTATTGTATGGAGCTACTGTGCTCCTGTATTTTAGAATGGGTTTATTAAATATTTAATGAAGAAGTTAGAATTAATATTCAAGTATTACAATATCTTATTTTAGATACTTATTATTTATCAATATTTGTGAGTTAACAGTGTTGATAGTCCAAAAAGGATCATTCTAATTTATTTTATTTTCACTTGCTGAGAATATATATTTTATTTTTTTAAGTTTTTATTGTGAATTGAGTGATAGTTTACATGGGAGAACATCAGTTTTATACTCATTGTTTCATTTCAATGATTACAATCCCCTCTGTGCATCATCATTCAACAGTATGTGCTTCTATTCCCTCTGTTTTTTAGTTTTGTTTTATTTTTATTTGTTTAGTTTTTTGGGGGGAAATTTACACCAAAACACTCAGGAATAGATAATCATTTAAACAACCAAAGGGCAAATTTTGCAAGCCTGCCTCTTGGTTGCCAGCACACAGTCTTTCTCTTTCTATGAGTCTAGAGTCTTCAACTGCTCTATCTGTCCATGTCATCATCTCGGCCTCCATCTCTGGTGTCACTGCTTCTCTGGATAGGGTCCCACATTTCACTAATGCTCTTCTCCTTTGACGGTCCTAGAGTTCTTTGTTCCTGAAATGTAAGATTACCTGTTGTTGTTAAGTGCCGTCGAGTCAATTCCGATCCATAGCGACCCTATATAGGGTTTCCGAGGAGCAGCTGGTGAGCTTGAACCGCTGATTTTGCAGTTCAAATGGCTTTGCAGTCTGGTGTATTAATCCATAGTGCCACACCAGGACTCCTACTCCCCCCTTTATGTTACAAAACTTCTACCTTTACAGTTGTGACAATTGCAATAGAATTTATTTTAAAAGGTGAGTCACTGTATTTTTTTTCACAGTTTATATGAACTGATATATTAAAATTTTAGCACAGATTCTGGTACTAAATATGAGCTCCGAAAATGATAGCTAATGATTATCATTTCTTTTATGAAAAAAATACAGAGTTTAAAATTTAGCACAACACACCGTTTCATAAGGGACACATATGAGGTATGTAAGCGAGGAAGGAAAATACTAAATTGGTATGCTATAGGACTAATTAGCCAAGGCAAAAAGTAGTTGGCAGATATTTCGTCTAGATAATCCTTCAGTCCTCTGTATATGTATTAGTAAGGGAGCTCTAATCTTTCGTCTGTTCTAATGATGACCCTGCTTTAAGCTATCTTTTTCTGATATGCCAGTGAAAAACCATGCATGTATTTTTAAAAATTTATAAAATTGAACCCAAGAGAGTTGGAAATGTAAAGGTAGATGTTTTATAGCAAGAAAGGGAGTGATTAACTCTCCAGTCTAGGAGCGGAGGTCTCTAGGACCATCAACGGAGAAGAGCTGAGAGCGGGACCCTACCCAGAGAAGCAGCGAGGCCCGAGATAGAGGCAGAGACAATGATGTGGAGTGATGAAACGGCTGGGGACTTTGGATCCAGAGAGGGAGAGGGACTGTGTGCTGAAGACTTGGGGGGTGGGGAGAAGTGTAGGGGGCGGGTTTGTAGGGTATACCCTTTGGTCGGTTGATGATGCACGGAGGGGATTGGAACCATGACAATGAAACAATATACGATAGAATGAATGTAAAACTAAAGTTCTCTCATGTAAACTATCATATAATTCACAATAAAACATTGTTGTTGTTGTTGTTGTTGTTAAGTGCCATCGAGTCGGTTTTGACCCATAGCGACCCTGTACAGGGAATAAAACATTAAAAAAAAAAAATTGAACCCAAGAGAAAGATCTTCAGTAGGGTGGAAAAGGATGGAGTTAACATGTTACTTCTAGATAAATTACAAATTTACCATTGCCTTGTCGTTCTTCTTGGACAAAACCAGAGAAGGTGGAATGTCATCAAAAGCTTTAGAGCAAACAACTGAAAGCACTTGCTTACGTAAGGTTTACTTAATAATAGAAAAGAAATTGCTTTTAAAAGTTCTAATTGTCTTTCTCATCTTGTTAGAGTTGTATTTGCTTCCTTAGAGAAACAAACATTAATTTTAGGGTGGAATAAATTCTTTAGGGTTAGTAAATTAAATTGGCTCTTAAAGTCCTTTCTTAAGTTCCAACTGCTGATCTTTCTTCTTTGTTTCCAACTATCACATTCCAATTACCAGTAATTATCAATGCATCTTGATTGCATGTTTGATCAGTTTCTAACATCAGATAATGGTAAAGGTCTTCAATTTCCTCATCTCTTATGCTTGTGGTTAGTGCATAAATTTGAATAATATTTGTATTAACTAGTGTTTCTTGTAGACCTGTAAATATTATCCTATCATTGACAGCATTGTACTTCAGGATAGATCTTGAAATAGTCTAAATTTTTAATGATGAATGCAGTGCCATTCCTTTTCAATTGTCATTCTGTGCATAGTAGACTATATGATTGTCTGATTCAAACTAGCCAATACCAGGCCATTTTAGCTCACTTATACTTAGCATAGTGTTTACGAGTCGGGCTGCCAACCGCAAGGTCAGCAGTTTGAAACTATCAGCGGTTCCACAGGAAAAGATGAGGCGTTCTGCCCCCATAAAGATTTACAGCCTTGGAAACCCTGTGCAGGGTCACTATGAGTCAGAACCGACTCCACGGTACTTAACAACAACAACAACATACCTATATTAATAGTCTTTGTGTATTCCATTTCATTCTGGACAACTTTCAATTCTCTTGAGATTCATACTTCATGCATCCTACGTTATGATTAATAATAGGTGTTTTCAACTGTTTCTTTCATTTTGAGTTGTATCCTATGAAAGTTTTGAAAACTGCTCCATCCAAATCATTAAGTCATTACAGTTTACTCTACTTTTGAGGAATCAGCTATTCCTTAATCTTATTTTGAGTTCCTTCCAACCTTTGGTACTATACCAGTGTTCCACTCTTACTCATAAGGTTTTCACTGCCTAATTTTTTCAGAACTGAATTGTGAAGCCTTCCTTCCTAGTAAGTAAAACATTAGAACAGATTTCAAAGGGCAGCTCTAGGCCCTGGTCATCCAAGGGCCTTTTACCTGGAAGGTTCTTTCACCTTTTCTCTTACTTAGAAAATGTGTATTTCATACGAGACTGAATTCAAAATATACATGACTGAAATTTTTTTTAGAGTGAAACAAATTTTTTTCTCTGTGTCCTTTCATATAGTACTCTACTCTAATTTCTATCATTTATCATAAGGAACATTTACCTATCTTTTCTAACTAGATTGTGACCTCCACAGAGGCAAGGACCATGCTTATATTGCTAGCACCTATGTGGCGCTGTCAGATAAGCACAAGACTGAAAAGTGAGTTTGAATCACAAGGTCAGTGGTTCAAACTCTCTAGTCACTCTTTGGAAACCCTGTACTTGGTCTCTATGAGTCAGAACTGACTTGATGGCACTTAACAACAATGCCATAGAATCAGGGACCTAAGACAACATCCTTTATAATCTCTTTAGATTTGTTGCACTTGTTGTTTCCTCATCTTAGGGCAATACTAGAGTCTCTATCATGGACATGGGTTTCTTTTTAACCTAGTAAATATCTCATATCAGTGCTAGAATTAGGTTCTGTTTAGTATATTTCTGTTTAAGAAGAGTTGCACAGTACACAGCTGTAAGTGCCCTATAATAAATTACCTGGGGTTGGAGAAGATACCGGAGACCTGCACAGCTGACTCCCACTTCCTGCGACTCTGGCCTACGTGTTCTTCATGTATCTGAAATAGAGAACTTTAGATCATGGAAACCTGAAGGGTAGAAGGCTAGGCTAGAATTCAACTTAATTTTTAGTTTTGTTTTTTTACTGAGAAAAAGAAAGGATTATTAGTGCTTTAGGTTATTTACTTTTGGTGATGTTTTACAACAAAAATAGTACTTCATTTTGTTTTTGGTGAATGTTTATGCAGTAGTTCAGGTTCCTGTTCAACAGTTTCTATGCAAGTCATTTGGTGACATTGGAAATATTCTTTACAATGTATGAAAATGTGTCTTTCCATTTTGATTATTTCATTTCCTTTAATCTAGTTTCCCTGTCACATTACATTCTCATCTTTGTTTTAAAATTAACTGTTTGGTCTCATATGTTGTTGTTAACTGCCCTCAAGTCAGTTCTGACTCATAGCGACCCTGTATAGGGTTCCTAAGGAGTGGCATGAATTTGTTTTAAGGGAGCATAGTACTATAGGTGATATTCTTTGTTGTTTGAGCCAGTTTCTTATTTAGCTATAAGGTGACTTCAGAGAGGAGTTTAGGTTC